CCCACCCCCCCCATCTCCAAAGCCTGTCCCTGTGCTCCCTCTGGCTTTCCACCCTGCCCTGCTGCTTCTTCCACCTGAGCCAGCCTTTGCTCCTGACCTTGGACCAGCAAAGTCCATTTTGCCTATGGGCACCTCTGTCTTGTCACTGTTGTGACAAGCTACGGATACAGACCTCGACAAGGAGCAGGGGAGAGGAGCAGGTCTGTCCTTGATGGCACAAAGGGCTTTGGTAGGAGCCATTGCTGTAAGAAGAGGACATCAGAGCTCTCCAAGGCACCGTGCCCCACACCCTGCTAGCACGGGACACGTGGGATGCCAGTACAAACCAGCACAGCTGGCATCTGTGTGTGCTGCCAATGCTCTGGCAAGGCTGGGGGTGGGTCCCCCAAACCTGCAGCTCCAACCCTCTGCTCCTGCTCTCGCCCGGCGCCCACCCGGCGAGGCAAGACGACCGAGCGAGACGCTGCAGCCCCGAAGGGGGAGTGGGCAAAGGCCCCTCATCACAGCAGCCGTGAGGCAAGCGCTCTTTGGGCTGCACGGGACAGAGCTGAGGAAAAAGCTGAGCTTTCCCTTGGTCCCAGTGGATGAGGGGCCGAGTTTGGCTTCACGTCCCACTTGTGACCATGGCTGGACAGTGAATCTGCAAGTTGGATAAAGACTATATTGTTTTGTGCTCTATTGTGCTAATTTTGGCTTGAAGCAGAGCCAGCCCTCTCAGAAATCCCGCACTTCAGCAGTTCTGGGCTCTAGCTGCTCAGCGCAGCGCTGCATCCCCGGCAGCCCGACTGCTGCAGGTTTGGGGTGCACACTGTGGGGACACGGATGAAGGACAGGCACCGCTGGCAGGTACCCCCATGGGCTCACATCGCCCAGGGTTAACAATCTTGGTTCTGAACTATTTAGTTTCCAGCATGCAAAAGGTTCGATCCTTTCCCATTGGTGAGGTTCTATATTATTGCAGGTGACGGTCCACACCAGGCTAACAGAGGGACACGTGGGACGGTGTCAGATGTGACTCGTATTCATCCGGCAGAGCTGCCACGAGCTACCCGGTGCCCTCGGCACGGCTCTGCCCTCGCCTCTCCCCCCTTCCCGCACCCACCTTGGCACTTCCATTCTGCAGAGGCTGATTCTTCTTCGCCGTCATCGCGACGCATCGACCTGCGAAGCCGAGTTGGGAGCGGCAGACCCCGCTGCGGAGGCAGGGCTGGGCTCGGGCTCTCCTCACTCACTCACTCACTCACTCACTCACTCACTCACTCACTCACTCGCTCACACACTCACTCACTCACTCACTCACTCACTCTCTCACTCCTGCAGCCCCGAGCATGGCGGGGCCGGGCGCTGGGCTGAGACCCGCACCTCCCACAGGTGCGATGGATGCGGCATTGCCTAACGCTTGACTTTTTACCCACGAAGCTGTAAAACCAACGACTCCACACAGCCCGCCCCTCCCAGTGTGTCTTAACAGGCAAAGATGCAAAAAACGAGTTGGGAGGCATCTGGTCTGGAGGAGCTACAGTGCAAGGTGGGATAGAGGGCATTGGCAGAGCCGTAAAGCAAGCTCAGAGCAACCGGGGTACGGACAGACGTGCGCGGGGTCAGGCTGAGGGACGCAGGCTGCGACGGGCAGGACGCGGGCAGGGCAGGAGCAGCGACAGGAGCTGCGGGCAGGGATGCGGCGAGCTGCCCGGCCGTGGCCCCCCCCCGCCTGCCCCGCACCGCAGCTGCTCGCCACGCCAGCGCCTGTTCCCACGCAGCCCCAGCTCGGTGTAAGCACCGCAGGGCACCCGTCTCCACTGCGCCCAGCTGGGTGACACCCAAAAGCACGCCTCCAGCCCCCATCCCTGGCGCAGACCCCCTTTTCTCAGCAGCTGATGAAATCCAGGAGGATTTAGGGAGGGCAGGTGATCCCTGCTCTCACCTCGCCGGTCCCC